TCAAAGGTCAAAAAACAGAAATTACTTTGGAGTCAATTTATCGTCGTCGGATCGTCGCTTCAGACATGCAGCTTTTGGATTGAGATTGCGCTGTCGGACCTTAAATCACAATTTATAGTTGAAAAATCCATTAAGAAAAGCAAGAAAAGATGTGGATAGTATAGGTAAGGTCGTGTACCGTTACCTGCTCCTCCAAAGCAGTGATGATGGAGACAGCTTGATGCAGGATTCCAAGCTTTGTCTGTGCTTTCTCGGATGCATTCGGAAGATGCTGTCCACACATTTTACCGAGTTCTTTGAAGGCAGTGTTGATGTCGCGCACGCGAACTCTGAAATCAGGGAAGATTAGTGATACTATAGAAGATCATCGAAGAACGCAATAGACAGGTATTTCTTAGATCTATCGGTCCATCATCGTTTTCAAATGCCAAGTCTGCACTACGCTCTTTGACACTAGCAATCAACTTTCTTCAGTAGTTCAACGTCCCTATCACCTTTTAAAGGACAACAATAGAAAGTAACATAGCGAAATTTGACACATCTTATTTGACCATCAGAGTTTTCATTCAGATAGCATGAGCAGACGTCAATACAAAGCACATGATGTGAATGTAGTTCCATAGGGCGCCGTAAGAAAGAAGATATGGTAATGTTGCAAAATCTAATGACCATAAATAGTTTCATTTTGTGTCAGTTTCACCCATTATCCAAAAAAGTCTAGATTTATGCTCTCATCCCTTTGGGCCCAATGGGAAAAAATATCCCTTAGTACGTATAAACGTATTTTATCGAAAAATGAATGGCCAGAATTCAGATTGCTCTATCATTTTACCTTTTTACAAAAACAACTGAAGTCTTATTTGTCTGTAAGGAAAGAGTGCAAGTGATTTTTTCATGGAGAAATTGTAAAAGGAAGTCTGGAAGATTAGATATCTGCTTTGCTGACGATTGACGACGAAAGTCAATTAAATCAAATAATGGTAGCACCAGAAATCCTCCGGTTAGCATGCGGGCTATGAAAAGGCGGTTATACCTTTGGGTTCAACTATTCAGACATCTAACCCCATGCTTTCCAGCAATCTTGTCACATAAAAGGAATACTTGCACCACTGCACAAAAATGCCAATTAGCCTGCCCTAATTTGTCACCATATGGTCTTTTTAACCGCCCTTTAATTAGTGTCTTTATTAAATCAGCTAACTCTGTTTTTTCCTTAATTGCCTTTAAATATCCCACCTTTTTTTAACGGAAGAGCATGAACCTGACTCTCAAGAACGCATAATGTCAGGTGCTTTTGAAATCTTTCATATATGTCATATTTTATGAATTACGCAACAACCAGATGTTACCGTACCTCATACAATAGCTGTAAATCTTAACATCCTTATATGGCCATTTATGATGCCTTAGTTTGAAAAAAGATCGATAATTCTGTCAAGTCGTCCACGAAAAGATTCAACACCCTCCCGCTCAATGGTCTTTTAATACACTCGAAAAAAAAGCGCCCACATAACCACACAATGCTCCCAAGACGTCCGCCGTTCCCAAACCAAAACCATAAAATGCGAACAAAAACCCGTAAATCCCGTGCGCTCACGTTCCGCGCGTAACGATGCCGTAGTTAATCGTATTACGTTGTCGTGGAGAACTATGTGAGTTGCGTGGCAATGACGGATTTACGGTTGGATGTCATGACACTCTCATGTCAGTCAGGAGGTGTTACATCGTGATATGTGTGACATTTTTATAGCAATTACGCGTATTAAGGGGATTGGATTGGTGGGAACTGAGAAGGATTGGATGACAGCTTATCCAGAAGATATCGTCTCTTGAGATTGATCTGGAAAAATTCAGGGGAGGGGAATAGTGCCTGAGAATCAGATGGTTAAAGAGTTAGAGGTTGGTAATTGATGGGTAAGAGCAAAGGTACGGAAGATAGTAATAATGTTACTATTATAAACAGGACAAATGATGAATTTCTGAAGTTTTCTAGAAACTGCATGAATTAACCAGTTTTTCTCCAATTTTATAGCTCCCAAGACTGTAGAAATTGGCCTGAATTTCCCAGTCCCTTCATTTCAAATACTGCCCACTGCCCGCTCTATTCTTCCCACCCAGGCCATTAGAACACGCGATGTCGCTTTGTATTACGCAATCTATGTATATACAGTGCAGCGTAGAGTGCTGGGTAAGGGTGGTTAGTGGTCCTATTCTAATCTCGTCATCAAACTAAGACTAAACATAGACTGGGAAAGATCTGCATAAGTACTATACTACTGTATGAACGAGGACGATAGCATAAACTACCGGAAATCGATCGATCACAGTATATAAACATTAATTGTAAACAACAATTGT